GAAGGAGGTGCCTGTCCGGAAGCCAGCCCAGCCGACGACTTCCTCCAAACCTATGCTGGATCTTTACGAAGTTCGTGAGAGTATCCTTGAGCAGATACGTAATAAGGATGCCTTACCTCTACGAAGGATCAGAGGTCGAATCGGTGAGCAACTTGATCGTGTTGCAGGTGATTTGCCCATACGGTTGTGCAATCGATATTTGCAAGTTTATTGTATATCTATTTTTTTTCTTCCTTTCAATTCAGCATACCTTGAGACTGCATGGATTAATAAGAAACTTAGATGAGGTGTACGTTACGCCGTAACGGAGTAACTGCTTAAGCGGAACTAACACCTCCAGGAGATCAAATACCTGTAGTAATTTGTACATTATCTCTCCCAGTCTGACCAATACACCCTCGCAGCAGTGTTTCTTGATTTGAGTAGCCCATCAAGGAACATGTAACACTGAACCACAAAACTTGGGTTTTTCGACGATATCATGAAACTTTTAAAAATTAGTCTAAGTGGCTTTTATGTAACCATATTCCAGGCGATATAGACTAATTGTGAAGCGGATTCGAAGCGCGTACTCCAAGTTATGCCTCCACTCATCACCGGACCAAACTGTTTTTCACGACGGCCTCATTGTTAGCCTTTTTTCTCAAAGAAGTCTGCCCCTTGGATGAATGGGACACAATCTTTGAATTGGTGTGCTTTCAACAGGACAACTACGTACAACCTTGAGAGATTGATTCAATTAAAGCGGATTGCTTCTGACCATGCTGTAGCTGTGAAACATGCCCCAGTAAAACTGTCGAGGCGTTCACCGATCTGGCCTTACTACAAGAGGGAAAACGGACAAATGTGATTGGTCTATTGGTGAGCACCGCCCTCGTGTGGGTTTGAATACTTCCGATTGCCGCTGACAGGGTTCGGGTTGTGGCCAAGCTGTGGGTCATTGAACTGTACGCTCAGTGCACCTGGGCTGAGGCATCAGTTCTTTCCAGTCGTGAGATAAAGTACGGCTTTTTTAAGAAGGATAACTAAGTCAGAACTTGTTATGTAAATCCTCCTTGATTTTGTTAATAAGCCTTCTTCTCAGTTTCCTCCTTGGGTGTGGGGTAGCATAGAGGTACGGTCAGGGTTTATATGGCTTGCCAAAATGCGCATTGGATGATTCAGAAAAAAAATAGTTAGTGAGCATACGTTTGCTTTCGATGAATTATCTTCAAACCAGTACATTTTTATAGGAACAGGGGTCGAGTAAAATATGCCAGTGAGTAGATAAAATCGATGTAAGTTAGCCTTAAAACAAAAGCAGATAAGGTAATAAGAGGCAGGGAGGCTCACGAAGGAACGTATGAGGGGAGTTAGAGAACGAGAGGGGGCTCGGAATAGCATGCAGTTAATTGACCTTCGATCACAGTAAATATGGAACTTGTACGACATTCTTCTGTGAGCACAAAACCGGCTAGCATAATCTGACAGCGGTCGCTTTTATTGTTGATGGTAGGTGCTCACCCCATGGCTTAGCGTAATTCGGTGAGACCTTACAAATAATATGGCATCTTTGTTGGGGTCCACATGCGGCTTGGAATTAACAATCTTTGTGAGAAAAGCGTTGTTTATACATACCCTTAATTTGGCCTTTTCCAGCCATGCCGGAAGGTGTTCCCATATTTGTTGATTCATGTAACTAATATAATCAGTTCCACCGGAGCAAGAGAACAGGTAAATAAACAGCGGTGATCTGAGATGGCAACCTATCCATACCTCTTCTGTTTGAAGTAGGCTTACTTGAGAACAATTACTTGAGAATGCCATCCGAATCGTTGCTTCTGGGAAAGTCCGCAAGGCAGCTGGCTCAAGGCGACCAATATTCATGTGTTCCAGCGACAGAGAAGCCTTTCTTAACTGTCAGCGTCCACGCAGCGCCTACTGTGAAATTGACTGCTAAGTCCCCGTCCGAAGTTGCACAGGGCCAATTTTTGGGACTAAGGTGACTGTGATACCTCGAATTCGAAGGCTTGCAGGACCTAGTGGATAGCAAAACAACACTGCGAATCAACCTGTTTGATCGGCAACTTTCATCACCAAAGATAGTCGAGGTTCTATCTGTGTGAACTTTTGAACATATAAAGTTACTGTTCACCTACAAGGAAGAAGTCGCGAATCCTAAGCTGGACATCTACTGGGGCCTCTAAATCATATAAGTTTTAACGTGGTCTGAGCAGTAGTATAGTTTTACATTACATTTCATTATTCTCGAAAGTAACGTGCTTACTTTTTATGTTTTCCGTACTGATTTTTACCTACCTCTGAAACCACTAAAATATGCAGTTAATTAACAATTTAACCATCTTTGATTCTCTCGGATAAGGAAATCCAAAGCCGACCTCGGATGAGTAGTTCAAGAGGTTCGAGTGTTAACTGTGTTGAAGCCTTGTACTTCTTATCTTGGGTTCGAACCCCAATGGAGTTTAAGTGTGAACACTTATACCCACACGCAGCTAAAATACTTTTTGTTTAACCGTTTCCTAACCTCTGCACCCGGATGGCTTGAACTCAGCTAAAGCATCCTTTTCATTTCAGATAAATCTTCCACAAAAGACATTCCCGGTAATTGCGATCTTCTTGACTTGAGCTGTTCGAATCGGAGTCACACCTCTGAGGTGCCTAGAACGCTGTCGCGGCGTTCCGGCCCCAGACAACTTAGCGTTTACGAGCACCGACCCGGTGTCGGTGATGTCAGTGCAGGGGATATGGATGGCTGTGATCAGGCCAGTGAAACCACCACCAGTGCCTTTCCCCTTCCCTCACCACCGCTACCGCTACCGCCGCCGCCACCACCACCTCCCGCCGAATTCACCGAAACCGATTTAAAGCATCCATTAAAAGCCTCATCAGCCTACGCTCATCTCTCACCCACGGCCGCAACAACAACAACTAGCACCCCAGCTTCCGTCAACCAGGCGCGGTGGCCTGGTCTCCACCAATTAGCTGACAGTTTCCAAAACACCCTACGAATTCAAAAAAACACCGCCCGTGGTTTCAAGGAGGTATCCTTCTGTTCAGCGCGTCAGTCCTACGGCAGTCCGAAGAGTCAGCCTCGAATTGAAGTTTCTTCCAGATGTTCGCCACCCCTCAGTGGAAACGATAAGAGGTACAGTAGTAGGGCTGCATCTTCCTTCACATCCTATCAGAGAGACAAGATGGAAGTCCCAGAAAGACGAGTTCCCGTGAGACTGCATGATGATAAGAGCGCAAAACCGGTGACCATAAGGAAATCCCTTGACCCCTGCTCACCCCTTAGGATTCAGGATTCTGCCTATCCCAGTTCGGTGGCAGCTTCTTCCAGCGAAACAGGTCATACCGAAGACTTGCCAGCCAGTCGCACGCGGGCTTACAGTCAATACGAGGTTAGGCAACAGCCAACCGCAGGAGTCAGTCGATCATTGAGATCCAATGCGCTGGGCGGGCAGGGTGTTGACCTCCAGCAGGATTCCGCTCAAAAGTTCAACCAGTCCCCTCTAGTATACGACTTTCACCGATATGGACGCGAGACCGCATCCGAATTGGCAGCAGAACGTGAACCAAAATATCCGGAGAAGAAGAGGACCTCAGTTGACAAAGACAGATTCCCTGAGGCGGACTATCCTACTCTCAAATCCGTGGGTACAGAATTCAAAGGAATTGACGAGGAACATGGGCAAAAAGGGGCGGAGGACAGTGGAGTTGAAGGGACTATCCCCAGAAGACCAGCAAACCGAGTTTATTCAAAATTCAACCCAATAATTCATCCATCTAGTGAGGTCAAAACGATCCCTACTGCAGCAAGGTCACTGCATTTCGCCGAAGTCGAAGAAGGCAACTTGCAAGGAGGTTCCACACCCGTTAAGTACACTTCTACGCTGTTGGAGAGGGTTCCTCATACGCGGAATGGTGCAACAGTCGCGGCTGAACATCCTTCGAGACAACCTCGAACTTATTTTTCACTCCCTCGCCAAAAGCGT